GGATGCATTAATTGTCACAGCTTGATGCATTCATTGCTGATCGTTCAAAGTTCAAGTTCTTTGAATTTGAGAAATTGTATTAATCTTTTGTTAGCATTCGCCACGAGTTATTTTCTCTACCCACTTTAAAAATTTTAAATTTGGCTGGTTGTTCTAAATTTTTAAATTGCCTTAACTTTTATCCTTTTGAAGAGATTGGTGAAGAAGAAAATATTAAGCAGTCATTTTCTCAAAAAAGATAGACACTACTCCATATTTCTATTTATAGGAGAAAATATTACGTTTAACTTGTTTTTTATATAAGTAAAATCCCATATTTCAATAAGCATTTGTTTCACATTTTCTAAATCAACCCTCATAATTTACATTAGTGAAAAATAATTAATGCATATTTATATTGATTAACATAAGGTATTTTAGTTTAATTTTTTTATTTTCAGACATAATTATTATGGTTAACTAACTTTTTAAACTGTGTGATATAATTTTTTTCTTTTAATTATAGAAATGGAGGGAGTATGTAGAAACGATTCTGTTTAAATGTAATGACACTTAGAATGTTGTATCCGTAATTAATCATGTTTGTTTTTTCTCCCTCTCCTCTCTCTTACCTCTACTTATTTCGAAACGAGAGGGAGTATGTAGAAACGATTCTGTTTAAATGTAATGACACTTAGTGCCCGTTTGGATAAGGAGAAAACGCGCGTTTTGGATCCAAAATCGATTTTTTCTGTCAATCTATCCAAACAGTCGAAAATGATCAAAAATCAATTCTGGGCCAAAACGCGCGATTTTCCCGAAGCTCCCTTCATCCAAAAGTTTGTCAAAAACGTTGGGGAAAATTACAAAAACAGGCCCAGGAAAAAATTACAAAGAAAGCACATAATTTAATAAAAATAAAATTAAACTCTCTTCTTTTTCTTTTTTTTTCCTTAATAAAATTTAAACTTTATATATTTAAAAAATTAATATTTGATATTTAAAAATTAAATTATATAGTTAAAAATTAATTTTGATTAAATTATCCAAATATCTTCAATTCTGTTAAAATCAATTTTAAAAAAATAGTATCCAAACAGATTACGTTATAACATAATCAATTATGATTAAAATCTACCACTTAATCAATTATTTTCATAATCTATTATACCCAACTGAAATCCAAACAGACCCTTAGAATGTTGTATCCGTAATTAATCATGTTTGTTTTTTCTCCCTCTCCTCTCTCTTACCTCTACTTATTTCGAATTTTTAAATTCTTAGTCTTTATTTAAATTTAATCTAATTGATTTGGTCCTTTAACTTCACTCTCCCAAGAAAGAAAGAAAGCAGAAGCCAGCAATAACCAATGAAAGGAGAGGGGCCAAGGAGAAGCGTGGAATGTCAGGTGGAGTGACAAAAGTGTATGGCCTTGGGGTCGTGAAAACAGCCACTTTAAGCCACTTTAACTTGGTTCTCAATATTTTTTTTATTGAGTTTAGCTCATTAATTTAGTATACCTTAGAGTTTAGCTCCCTGTCCATTTTAATTTGGTTCTCAATTTTTTTTTCAAGATCTTTTAATTTTGCTAATTTACACATTTAAAAATAGGAAAAATTTTAGTGAGGACCACTTGACTAAACTTAATTTCAGTCAAAGTCTCTAAAATTCTGAAATTTTGAGGGACTAAAATGAATGAAATGAAATGACCTTATTATCTCTAAAATTCAAGATCTTTTAATCTTTCAGATAAAAAGCATGGACATAATTTATGTTGGGATTTACGACAATTTACACCAAACTCCCTTTTCTTCTTACTCTCACACTCTCTTTCTTCTTCTCTCACCATATTGTCTTATGGAATTGAATTTGACTGATAGCAGCATCACAAGTATATGGGACGAGCTTGGTGGAAGAAAGGTAATGTTAATTGGATGCAGGCCCTTCTTACCTACTATAGATATTTTTGGCAAATGCATGACTATTTTCACTCACACAAGTATATGCTAATGACTCATTTGTAAGCAAAAATCAAAATATTTTTATCATCTAATGATATATATATATATATATATATATTAAGACATCAGATATTTATATTTATATTTATGCATGTATATCATATATGTGTGCTAAGTGTTTGTCTATCAGCTAATGTTTTTGAGCAAATAGTTGAAAGAAAAAATATCATTTAACACATTAGAAAAAAATATATATGCTTCTTTACTTTATAGATAGGACCAAACAAAGTATAAACTTGCTTATTGGTCTTTTGAATTTTGTCATAGTTAACGTGTGGAAAGCTTTTCTTGTCTAAGGTCTTGTGGTCGCAACTATAGATTTATGTATATGGGCGTGCCACTATAGGAAAAACAGATGCTTAATTGTTAAGGTTGAAATTTCTGGAAGCTTTCCTTGAAAGAGATACGAAGAATGGTTTCTAACTTTCTATGCAAGTCTCTTGGTCTTCACTTTATAATTTATAAAATATGACCAAACAGAATGTAAAGCTGCGGTCTTCTGTCTTAATTAACGCGTGGAAAGCTTTTATTGTCTGAGGTCTTGTCCACTACAAGAAAAGAGGTGTTTAATTTTATTTTTTTCTTGGACAGAAGAGGTGTTTAATTGTTAAGGTTGAAATTTCTGGGAGCTTTCCTAGCTCGAAAGAAGTACGAAGAAGGGTTTCTAAGTCTAACTTTCTATGCAAGTTGATCTGTTGCTCTTTCTTTTTTTACTTTTTTTTTTTCAAGGTATTTCCATAATCGACAACTGTGAGATTAATTATTGAAAAATTTAAGTGTCATTTAAAAATTTCCAAGGTCCATCACTATTGCATAACAAGAACAAAAATGTTTTGTTATATTATTATTTTACTTTTTACAATACGTGAGGCTGATTTGAATAAGTTATGACTTATGGCAGGAAAGGGGGGGTTAGAACTTAATAGTTACATTTCGAAATTTTTTTCAAAAAAAAAAAAGAACATAAGTCACAAATATCCATTCAAATAATTATAAATATAAAATTTTCATTGTAAATTGATTCATAGATTTTTCTAATTATTCATAACTGAGAATTTCATATTTGTAAACTGTTTAGGTTGCCCTACTTAACCCATGTAAGAAAAAAAAATCAGGGGATGGGGGAATGGTTTAAAGTTTCTAGCACTGCTCACTCAAAAAATGAAAGAAAGCAAAAAAAAAAAGGAGAATATCATTGAAGGACCTCTGAAATGATCTAATAAGAGAAAAGTATATATTGGTAAATTTGTAACATTCAAGGCACAAATTCCATTGAAAGTAAATATTATATGTGTTTTTTTTCATAATAGGATTTCTAGTACAAATACTTGAAATGGAGACGTCAAACTTATACGGTCACGGCAAAATGCTTCATAAGAACAAAGGGAAGAGAAAGGGATCGGACTGATAATATCTTCTTTATCAAGTGTAAGTAAGAGATGTTGGGTTATTCGTCTTTAGTAGATCAAGTCCAAACATGAGCCCTATGATAGAGTGGGGCCTTATTATAATATATATATATATATATATATAAAATTGGGTCACAATGTGTAATATGTTCTGGGTCCCTTATTGCAATATTAATTTTCCCTTTTCTATTTGAAAATGAGAGGAAATAGTTTTCCCTTAACTGGCACGTTCATGTAAATGTGGGCATGCGTCAGTTAAAGGGAGATGAGGCAAACCTTCATCCTAACTACTGCCTCCATCTCAAATTATAAGGTACTTTTAAAAGAATTTTTTCATTTCAAAATATAAGACACTTTAAATAGATTAAGATTTCATTAAATGCGCCAATTTCAATATTATCCTTCCCCTCTCTATAATTAATTTTTATCTCTTTTCTTTTTAATATATTAAATGATGGGTATTTTTAGAAATTTATATTTTTGTTTTGAAAAGATAAGGTTGTTAAATATATTTAATGAGGTTTATTGATATATAAAATTTTATCTAAAAGTGTTTTATAATATAGGACGGAGGGAGTAGTATTTATCTTGGAAATGTACCGATTATTTTATTTCCATTTCTTGTCAAATAACGTATTACGAAGATTCATTTTTACAAGTCCAAAACATATGCAGCGCAATAAATGTTTTACTCTATTATCTTTCAAAGTGAGAATAGAATTATCATTTATATATAAACATACATATATAACAGTAGCATATCAGTTTCTCTGTGGATTGTTTGGATTGTTTTCCACATGGGATGCTGCTAACGACCGAAAGGAGGCGTAGGTTAATGTGGCAGTCACAAGGGTTAACATCTACTCCCTCTATTCATATTAATAAAACTCGTTAAATGCACTTTATAATTTTATTTTTTAAAATAAAAATATGAATTTTTAAAAAAATTAAAAAGAGAATATAATAAAAAGAATAACATTGAAAAAATATTATTATATAAAACTTTATTTTTTTAAAATATCTTATATTTTGATATACTAAATCTAAATCAAAAATATTTTATAAATTAGAACGGGTTAATATTAATATATACGATATGTATATGTATATGTATATATATATTTAAAAACTATTGATATTGTTCCTGTCGTTGTTCTACATTTTAATTTGGTCCCACCGATAATTCAATAAAGTCAATGCACGCGTTGGAGGAACTTACTCAGAAAGAGGCACTTTTATTTATTTAATAAAGGCGAATGATTTAATTGTTACTTCGTTGTAGTCATTCCAAAAAAAAATATATTTTTACTTAAATCAAAGTAAATCATTCATATGTAGTTGTTGGAGTGATAAAAAAATTTAGAATTATTAGTAGAGATCACTGGTCATAACACAGCTATATGGTCTTTAATTAAAATTAATAACCTTAGAGGTCCTTAATTGTCATTTTTCCTCATTAAAATAACCATTCTTCAACAGTCAAAAGATGATAAATGAAAAAACAAAATTTAAAATTTAATTCTTATCAAGGCACCCACACCTCCATATCTCTTTCCTGGCAAGGTCCCAGAAATTTCCACCTCAGCAAACCTCTGTTCTTTCCTTTTCAAGTTTCTAGTTTTTATCAGTCTCCTTCATCCCCAGGGCCATTAAAAGATTTTTGAAAGCTCAGTGAAAAACTACAGCTCCATTCTATATCCATTGAAAGGCTATTGACTCATGGAGGGTTTCAATAGTGGATCATCACCATCGAAGCCAAACCATGTTTATCTAAGTTTCAGAGGAGATGACAGAAGTTGCGACTTCACAGATAGGCTTTTGGCTGCTCTTGAAAGTGATGATTTAAATACCTTCTGGGATGACAAGAAGCTTGAACCAATTCATTCCATCTTTCTTCCACGTTCCTGTCTCAAAGCTATTCAGCAATCAAACATTTCCATTGTTGTCTTCTCCAAAAACTTTGCTGCTTCTACATGGTGCCTACAGGAACTCTCTGCGATTCTTGAACGTATCCATGAACCACGACATACAGTTGTTCCAATTTTTTATGATGTAGATCCATCTGATGTACAGAATCAGAGTAATTCTTTTGAAAAAGCTTTCGCTGAACATGAACGAAGATTCACACGAAGTGATGTACACAGCTGGAGGTTAGCAATGAAACGAGTTGCCCATTGCCCTGGTTGGTACACACCGCACAAGTGGGTAATTTATTTAGTCATGAATTTTTTTCCCATCAATCGGTAAAACAGGGTGTTGAAAATAAGCAATTAATTTTGTTTTTTGGTTTTTCTTCAGCCCATGGCAACAAACTATCGATGACATTGTGAGAGAAGTGAAGAAAAAAATGCGAGAATTAGTTCATGTTGATGTTGACATGGTGGGGATGCAATCACGAGCCAAAGAAGTAATAAAGCTTTTAGAATTGGGTGTGAATGATGGGGTTCGAGTTGTGGGCATTTGCGGCATGGTTGGGATTGGGAAGACAACTCTTGCCAGAGTTGTATATGATAGGATCTCTTTCAATTTTGATGCTTCTCATTTCATATACAAAGGAAATGAATTTTGTATGAGCAGTAGGCAACTACAGGGCGAGAATATTCTCCTAGTTCTTGATGATATTAGTAGTTACAATCTTGAACCAGTAATTCAGACTATAGATGATAACTGGTTAGGCAAAGGGAGCAGAATCATCATAACAGCTAGAGATGTAGGAGTCCTAAAGGGTTTTAAGATGCATGATATTTATAGAGTTAAACCATTGACTAAGGATGAAGCTCTTCAATTACTCTGTAGAAAAGCTTTCAGACGTAATTTTCCTATAAGAGGCTATGAAGAGCAAATAAATAGCGTACTTGAATATGCTAATGGCCTTCCATTAGCAATTGTAGAATTTGGCTCATTCTTACACAGTATAAGAGCTTCAGAATGGAGCATTAGTGCCTTCATTGAATTCAAAAAGGTTGTTAACTTTGTAGTAATGAAGGCCCTCAAAAAATGTTTTCTCGAGCTGAGCCCTAATGGTCGAAAGTTTTTTTTAGACATTTCATGTTTTTTCATAGGGAAGGATATTAAATATGCAGAAGGAATTTTAAGGTGTTATAGATATGACAAATCACTTATGACTGTTATAGATCAAAAAATACTAATGCATGGTCTAATGCAAGAAATGGGAAGAGAAATTGTGCGGCAACAATCCCCTTCTAGGCCTGAAGAGTGGAATAGATTGTGGGATTTTAATGATATTGATCGTGTCATGCAAAATGACAAGGTAGGTCTTGCTAATATTTTTTTAAAACATTAATATTATAATGTGTTAAAATTGACGTAATCTCACTTTGCATCTGTGTTATATTAATGTATTTATTCTTAGGTTACTCCCAAAGTTAAAGCTATAGTCTTGGATCTAGAAGATTCACAAGGGAGGACATTAAAGGCTGAAGCTTGATCACGCATGAGCGATCTCATCAGACTGCTCATATTTCGTAACATGAAATTTTCTGGAGTCTTGGAGGATCTTTCGACGAAACTAAGATATATTTCATGGCACCAATATCCTTTTACTTGTTTGCCGTCAAATTATCGCCCATATAAGCTTGCGGAATTGAATTTGACTGATAGCTGCATCACAAGTATATGGGATCAATGCCGAGAAGGAAAGGTAATGTTAAGTGTGTGCACGTACGCCCTTCTAACTTCTTGATATTTTTGGCTATGATTCAGACTTTTTTCATTCGCACGAGTTAATGCAAACGACTTGCTTATGAGAAATAATCAATATATATATATGATTTCTATTTAATACAAATGTATTAAGATATTTTATATTTTATATTTTAAGTTTATATTTGACATTTATATTTATGCTATGCATCTATATAAGATATGTGCTAAGTGTTTTTGTGTGAAGTTTCTAATGAAAAACTGTGTCCGCCACTGGCGGAGACGGGAAAAGGCAATACAATTGTGCGTGCGTACCCTTCTAACTAACAGGTATTTATTGCTAATTACCTCATACCCTTTTTTCATTCACAGGTTTTCCGGAATTTGAGAAACATGAATCTTAGTGGCTCCAAAGATCTAACCAAAATGCCAAATTTCATAGAATTTCCAAGTCTTGAGAGGCTAGACCTTGAAGGATGCATTAAATTATCACAGCTGCTTGATCCATCCATTGCTGATCATTCAAAGCTCAAGTTCTTAAATTTGAGAAATTGTATTAATCTTGTTAGTATTCCCAATGAGTTATTTTCTCTCCTCTCTTTAGAAATGCTAAATTTAGCTTGTTGCTTCAAATTTGCCAGTTGTCTTAACTTTTCTCCTTTTGAGGAGGAGTTTGGCGAGAGAGAAACTACTAGTAAATTAGTTCCTCGAAAGAGACAAAAGCTATGTAGAAACAAATCTATTTAAGTGCACTATTTGGTACTCAGAAATACAATGCAGTATCAGTAATTGATATTCTTCTCTCTCTTACTTTCTCAACTCCTTCCATATTTGTTTCTATATTATTAAGATTAAAATATATTTTTAATTTTTTAACTTTATGTAATATTTCAATTTATTCTTTTATTTTTATAAAATATATTTTTAATTATTTAACTCTAACATCATTTAAATTTAAATCTTTTAAAATAATAATGACTAGTATAAAAAATAATTATGTAAAATTAATAGTGTTATAATTAAATAATTGAAAATACACTTTATAAAATTAAGGGATAAAAGTAAAATCTTATATAAAATTAAAGGACTAAAAGTATTTTTAGCTTATTATTAATGTCATATATAATTAACTTTCTTATTGTTGAGTGTCATAACGAGAACATTCTCTGTGATGCCTATGCACAAAGCTAATCATAGTGTGCGCTACTAAAAAATGTAGAGATTAAAGTTTATTGACATTAACAACAAATAATTCAAAATTTGATATCTTATAGTGCCCTTATTGATTATATTTCACTGCACAAAGAGCTAGCCAAGCTCAGTCCACTTTACTTTTTCTTTGCATTTTGCATTTTGTGTTGATTTGGATACTTATATTGAAATTATATTCAGGTATTTATTTAATTTTGATAAGTTTCACATTTAAAAAACAATTAATTTTATGATTTATCGTTAATGAGAAACTATAAATCGTTTTTAGACCCACAAGACGTGAGACAAGAGTTGTTAGGAATGCATCATCCCAGTTTTTTTTTTTCAAAGGGAAAAAAATTATATACTTAGTTTCATATACTTAAAGTATAAGGCTAAGTATATAACTCTCACTCTTTGCAAATTAGTAAAAAAATTATGATGAATCTTGGTGAGAATAATATTAACAACTTATTTAAAAAAAACGTTGGGTTTGATATAATGCAGGAAATGTACATAGCTTTTACATTCTCTACACCTCCCCTAATGAATTATGTACATTCACTTCTGCAAGTCCAAAGCGTTTGAAGCGCAATAAATAGTTAATGTATTATCTTTCAAAGTAAGAATAGAATGATCAGTTGATACAGAAAAACTTTTGGGAAAATTATTGCCGAAGACCTGGAAAAAATAATATTTATTATAAAGCATCTTAAAAATACTAATTATTGAGAAGGACCAAACATTAAAATATAAATTTTAAAATACAAAATTATCCCTAGTCAAATTTCCTATATTTTTTTAAACCACATCTCAAATTGAACTTGACAGCTACGTTACTGGCAATGATAAAAGAAACAAATAATGCTAGAAATCAAAACAAGTGAACTTGTACCTTGAAGATTTGCAAAGAAGTCCTATAAAGATAAGTTGACACTAAAAAATCTGTTTGCTAACGTGCTTTCAAAAAGTGTTTTGGAGAATAAAAAAAATAAAATAATGTTCTAGAGAACAAAAAAAGAAAACAACTTTTAAGTGTTCTGTGATTATTGTTCTGGAAAACAAAGGAGAATGAAAAAAATACCTATTTTTATTATTTTTTTTATTTTCAAAACATGTTCTACAAAACATCAGTTTTCAGAATAATAGAATAAAAACAATTTCAAACAGCCCCTTAATTCCCTCCAAATGATAACTTCCTATTAAGGAATCCAAATCTTAACTTTATATGTAGGGTGCATCATTCTAGGAATCTAAAATGTATGTATAGGTTTCTATATATTCCCTTCGTTTAAAAATATAAGGTATTTTTAATCAAATCTCACCCCAATAAAGTAGTTATCTACTTTCAAATTAACACTATCTTTTTATATTTATCCATATTAAACATCCGACAACAAATATAAAGTCATTTATCAATAGGGATACTTTTGAAAAAAGACAATGATAACATCTCAAAAGACTAAAAATCTTACATTTTTAAACATCCAACTCTTTAAAAAATGTATTTTTTTTTAACAGAGGGAGTAATATTTTACTCTTTATTGCGGTATAAACAATAATTATGTATTCCAATAAAAAGAATAATTATTTATTTTTAAAATATATATATTTTTACACTGACGAGCAAGAATTAATTTTATAAAATGATTAAAACTGGCAAAATATTTGAGATTTTTGATACAATATTTTAATCTTTATTTTCAATTAATAGATAATAATTAAAAATATTTATTTTTAACTTCAATATTTCACAATTTAATATTAATAAGTTTTTAGAAAATATTTGACCGTACTCTCAATTTATTTATAAAATATATAAAAGAATTAACTGCATAAGTGATTTTAATCTTGGTCCTTATATGTAATTTTAAAATTTTTTTCTAATATTTTTCTGATAAACTAATTATCAAACTTAACTTTTGTTAACAATGAGAGTGTCGTTGCACTATTTTTAAAAATTAAAGAGGAACATTATACCAAAAACAAGTCTAAAATTCAAGACACTCCTAGAGCTATAATTTAAAATCTAAATTACCCTTTAATCTTTAAAAAATCCCATGTCTTTTAAATATATATATATATATATATAATATTTTATATTTTTATAATAATAAAAAGGAATTAATTTTAAATTAAAAATTTGAATTTTTAAAATAATAAATATTTTATAATTTGGGTATTCAAACATGCCCAATAAGCATTAGAGCCAAACTTGACTATACAAGCTTTTTTATTTATTCAGACTAGTTTGAATAACCTAGTTTGAATTGAGCACCCAACCCAAATAAGATTGATTTACCTGAATTGTCAGCTCTACTTCAACATTCAAACACAAAATTAAATTAGAAATTGATACAATACATTACTTTTTCGAAAGTAAATGTTGCATTGGCCTAGCTAGCTTGTGCATTCTAGCCAGGTGGCATCTTGCAACCAACAAGTGCTAGCTAGCAAATTGATATGAAGCTCATTAACGTGTGAAAATTAAAGCCTTTACTGTCTTTGCCAACTTTTTCCTTAAACAAAAGTCATGGCGGTCTCATGGAGTTTCTTCATCATTATCATTGAAGACTAAAAGCTGACATCACCCATCTTTGACGTTTAAGTCAATGATCAATTGATTTTGTGCAATTTCGTTCCTCTTTCCAGATGGAGGTGCTTCATCCTGCTGGTTTCCTACAAACTTGTGAAATACATGGAATTCAAACGTGACCAAGACCATACACTCAAATTTCTAGCGAGTAAATTCTTGATGAGAAAACATATGGGAGGTAATTTTGACTCACTTATAAAATTTGTTGCTCTCTTCTGTCATAATTAATAACGTGTGGAAAATCTTGTCTTGGCAACTTTTTCCACAATTTGATGTTTTATTAATATTCTTACTTAACGAGTAATAAAAGTAGTAAAAAAAATTTTGTGAATTTTTTTCATTTCTCACTACGTACTACTACGGGTGATCGTGTTATGAAAAAGACACGGTAGGTCTTGCTAATAATTTTTTTTTTGTTGATCATTAATACTATAATGTGTTAAAATTAAAGAATCTCACTTTGTATCAATGTTATATATATATATATATATATATACATATACATATATAGGTGTACTTATTCTCAGGTTGCTCTTGAAGTTGAAGCTATAGTCTTGGAACTAGAAGATTCACAAGTGAGGACATTAAAGGACGTCACAGCTTTATTACGTATGAGCAAGCATAAACTGCTCATATTTCATAATGTGAAATTTTATGGAGAACTTCACACGTGTCTTTCATTGCAACTCATATATATTTCATGGAACCAATATCCTTTCTGGACTCCTTCTAATCATGTCTGTTTTTCATACATATATCCCTTACTATTTTCTCTCTTAGACCATGGACTCCTTCTATATTTGTTTTTACATTAATATTTATAGTTAATGAGAAATCATACATTAATTTTTGGACAATGCATCATCCTAGCTAATATTTGTCTCTTGGAAATGTACTTTTTTAATTTTTCACATGTAACTCATCGATTATTTTATCTCTATATCTTCCCAACGATGTATTATCTAGATGCACTTTTACAACTCCAAAACACATGCAGCACAATAAATATTTGCTCTATTATCTTTCAAAGTCAGAATAGAATGATCATTTACTTTGATGGGGCCATTATTAGAATATAAAAAAAGTCTCACATCTAAAGATTAAAAGATATATCATGGATATATATGCTTAAAAAGTATCTAACAAAATGGCATGATATCATGAGTCATTCGATTGGGGGACCTAAAAAAAAATGAAAGAATGAAAGATGGAAAAAAAATATATACAACAAGACATTAAAAAAAATAAAGAAAAGAGAGAAAGACAAGAAAAAGAAGAAGAAATTGAATAAACCTAATGCCTTTGAGATTAAAAAAGTACAAGTCCAAGCAAGAAGAAGAAAAAAATGAAGAAAAAAAAAAGAGAAAAAAAGTAGTTGAGAGGATATTAGAATATAAAAGAAGTCTCATGTCTAGATATTAGAAGATGTATCATGGATATATAAGTTTAGAAAGTATTTATCAAAATGGCTTAAATTATTTTGGTAGAGTATACTATCCTTAACCATACTTAATATAAGAAATATAACAGCCCTTACCAATTGACATGAAGTGTTCACATGGATCAACATATACTCTTTCTGTCTTAATTTATAAAATATATTTAGATAAAATTACATGTATAAATAAAGCTCATTAAATGCATTTTATAATCTTTTCAAGACAATATATAATTTTTTTAAGAAAAGGAGAGAATATAATGAGAAAAGTTTTTCACAGTAATAGAAATTAAGTGGAAAAGGTACACAAAGCTCTAGATTGTTATTTCCTTGTATAGAGGCAGGGTAGAAACCCTAATACAAAAGAGTGATACAGGAATGTGTGCAGATAAGAATAACAGAAGATAAATTACATAATATTTCTATACAATATTTCTACACTTGGTGGCTCATTAAAGATGGTTGCATCAAGATTTTTAATGGTTGATTGGTGAGCAAGTAGATCGGTACAGCTGTATAACTTCAATCACTGTTTTCGTTAGCCTAAAAATAAATGCATTTTTATAGAAATAATGAAATGTTAAATTGTTACTT